CAAGATACAACACCGACTAATTTACCTTCGGCGACGAAAGGACCACCGGAATCTCCTTGACAAGAGTCTTTGTCTTTAGCATATCCACATACCATTGTCTCTCTAATTCTTTCACCGTATTGATAATTTTGAGAAGCACAATCTTTACGTTCCAAGAAAGTGACTTCGACTTCCATCAGAGCGGTGGAGAGATCACACATCATAAAGCATTTGGTACCCCAACCAGATATAACGGCAAAAGTACCCGTCTTTGGTACTTCCTTAGCCATTTCAATGTAACGGACCGTCGATGATTGATTAATCGGCTTCTCCAACTTGAGGATGGCTATATCATGCCACAAGAGTTCGCGGTCGTATTGTTCGTGGGATTTTAGAGCTTTAACGCCCACCAATATTCCACCTTCATTGTAATACGTAGAGCCTAAGCGCACTTGCAAATCAGAAGCTTCAACATTTCTTAAGCAATGGGCGGCTGTTACCACAATGTCTTCACTAATAATGCTTCCTCCGCAATAATGGTTTCCTGTGCTTATTTTCTGGAGTGATACCTGGTAAGGACGAGCTTCTATTGTAGTTTCTACGCCGTTGACAATGCGTTGACCAGCGATATGTTCTTCGGGTAAAGGACCCGCGAAAACCGCACTCGAAGAAATAAGTACAAGAAAATAAAAAGACATTATGGCAATTAGTTCGTGAATGCTGTTTTCATTGTGAGTTGGTTAGTATATATACTAATTTAAATTTTGTGTCTTAAGTATTATCTTGCAATGATTTTATGCACAGGCTGATAAGCGAAGCGGTCAGAAGCCTTTAATCATTGGTATATTTAATTGATAACCGATAGCATTCTAATTCAAGTTCGAGTGCGTAGTTCCTAGTTTTGCACTGACGCATTTTTATGCGTTTATTTATTCAATGTATTTTGTAATAATTTCTGAGCAGGCAGAACTTACGATATAGATTTCGTGAATATTAGCGAACATCTTATTTTCGTTCAACTTACCTTTTCAGAAGAAGAGGACGGGGCTATAAATTAAGGTATGTTTATAAATAATTGCGAAGTGTATGTACGTAAGTAAATATGTGGGTAAGGTTGAATTTATTAATGATGATGGGTATGTATGTGTAATGACGCTGACTCATCCAAATATATCGATAGGAAAACGCGATAGCTAGTGACGGACAATGCCTTATTTACTGAATACTTTACGATTTGTATGACAGGTCACTTAGTTTTGTGTTAACATTGTTAAGATCAAAACTGAGAGAAATTTTTTAGAAACACTTCTTCCTCCACTATTTATCACTCACTTGCAAATTGTACGATATTTACAAGGATTCACAGAAGAAATTACCACGCACATGTACACCTCCATCATTTTTTTGATGAATTAGAAAAAACTGTGGAAGTGGAGGTGGGCCCGCTTTTAGTTAACGTTGTGTCCTTTCTATAGGGGCGAGGAAAGTGCATTTATGCTTGTTGGAGACATAGATCATAACAATGAAATTAGCTCTTTCAGATACTTTTCAATGTTCTCTAAAACATATAAAAAACTGGAGTATCGTTACGTCTTTCAAATACAATTATTAGCAACAACATAGTTTTTTGCTTTTGTGGCCATAATCAGAGGCTTGGGGCGCAGGATTTTCACTAATATCTAATTTTAATTATCAGTTTATTGATTTGTGTCTTACTTCGTGTTAAAATGTAACTCAGAAAATACATATTTAGTGAAGGCACAAACCAACAGCAATATTGGCTCTCTTGGTGGGCTGTCTTCCTCCTCAAAAAGCTTAATAAATGGGCCGACGAGTGAGAAAATTATATTCATTTGCGAGGGTGTTTCCTATTTTGTTATGACATCGAAATGTCTTTGTTAATCAGGACACCCGATGACCTCATCTTCGAATAATAAGTTATTGGTGAGGAACACTGTGAATTTTGCAAAACATAAATCTTTTTTTTTACTTAATAAATGCTTTGAGCATTCGAGAATATGTAGAAACCAAGTAGAAACATTGCAGTGGGTTACGATTCACCATTAAATGCTCTACAGCACTTCTACTACTTCTAATACTACTAATATATATAACGACGTTTTCAATTAAACTGTTATACGGGATATGGCTGGAAAGAGCGTCTGATCCGCACCATTTTCGAAATCGTGCGTCCTTGGGCGAAAACATTTTCAATGCAATTGCATCAAAACATATGAAACATTGTGAACTGTGTGTTGAATACAAGATAGAAAAATGGACAGAGAAACTTAGATGAAGTGATTCTGAATTGGTCGGTATAATCAAAGTCTGTCTCTATGTGTCTGGGTATTGCATACTTCCGCACAAGTTTCATATGCCCATGTACTACAACTAATATACGATATAAAAAATTGTTAACTGAAAGAAACACTTTCTTGAAATTGCCGGCTTTTCCCTAAGCGCTCCGATTCGGCAACTATTCCGCGTCCCGCACAATAAATATGGCTTCGTCATTGTCATCTTTTAATATTCTTTAAAAATAACTTTTTTGATTTATGCTTAAATATATATCTAATAACTCGATTTACTGTCTATTAGTTTCAGAATTTATTTCATTAGTCTAAAGATATTATAATAAAGATAATGATAAAGCCTAATAAGTTTAACAAATATTATCACTTTTATAGTTTTCTTCCAAGCCAGAAAGATTGTAAGGAACAGGCTTGAGTAATGGCAACAGCGTGCCTTCTTGCGAGCGGTAATTAAAATGTTCACTAACGTTAGTTCCCAGTTGGAAGAAACAACGT